ATATGTTTCCCGCCATGAATGTACAAACTCCTTGAGAGTAGAGACAATGATCGTGTGTGCCTCTGTGTGTGTGTGTGTGTGTGTGTGTGTGTGTGTGTGTGTCTTCATACCTCCAGCAGCTAGCGAAAAACCAATTTGTGAGAGTTACTCAGCACTACACATTGAAAAAGTACCTCCTGTGGTTGTCATTTACTTTCTAAATCAAAGGTTTTTGAAAATAATTCATTTGTTTATTTGTGGCTCAAAATCAACAGTATGAATAATTATTGACTTGTGCCAAAATTCAATGATAATCTAAAAGCTTTTCACAGTGGTTCAGTTTGTTCTTTGAGTGTAATATAAATGAAGCATAAAACAAAATATAGGTTGCAGCCAGGCTCCAGGAATTTGTGAATTCCAGGATATAGAATAGGATTGGCATGCATAAGAACATAAATTAGTGTAATGAAAGAAGACTCTCAGAGCTCTATTCAGAGCCTCAGCCCCAGATAACTACCTATTCATTGTCTTTATTTGAATGAGCTACAGGCATGGCAAAGTCAACATTTCCAAAATCATGCTTGTGGTCATCCTTCTGTCTTCCCTCTCTCAGGAAATGTCATAACTATCTGCCCAACTGCAAATGACAGAAATCTGAGAGCTTCTCTTTTACCTTTCTCCTTGCTTGTTTGCACGTATAATTAATCATTATGTGCTATAGATTCTACTTTTTAAACCTCTTGCAAATCTGCCAGCTTTCCTCCAACCCTTGTACCATTATCTTAATAAAGACACCGCTATATTTCACCTGGATTAATAAATATTTATTTAATCTTCTTTTCTTGCCTCTAGGCTTCCACCTTACAATTTACTCATCACATTTCAGCTGGAGTGAGCATTCCAACATGTACATTTGATTATGGTATTATTGCAGAGTTCAAATTTCTTAATAACAGTGGACATATTTACCCTTTTTTAAATATTTATTACATACAAGGCAGTCTTTGGGTCACTTCTTCATACTATCTCATTGTATTCTCTGGACAACTCCATAAGTTAAATGCAAATATTTTTGATCTTTTTTTAAAATGAGAAATCTACGTCTTAGAGAGATCAAGTGATTTTCCTAAAATCAGACAGCCAGCAGTGGTGGAGCCAGGGTTTAAACCCAAGCAGTCTGGCTTCAGATGCCTCACTCAAAAACATGATTCTTTTGAATGTGTTCAAAAGTTAGTTTGATTTATCTCTTAAATTTAATCAACATCTCTTCTCTAAACTCTAGGATTTAACCATACTGAAATTGTCTAAATTTGTTGTTGACAAATAGAATTTGCTGTTAACATCTGGAATTATGGCTTTAATGTTTTCTTTCCTCTTTTGCTTCCCTTCCTCCTAACTCCTACTCAAATTTGGTGCTACTTTATCCAGAAAGCATTTTTCACTTTCCAGGTTAAGTAAGATGTAATACTGAAATCATACAAATTTTCTTTTCTAATCACAATGGAATGAAATTAGAAATCAACAGGAAAAGGAAAGCTGAATGATTTACAAACGTGGAAATTAAACAACATGTTCTCAAATACTGAATGAGTTAGATAAGAAATCACAAGGGAAATTAGAAAATACTTAGAGATGAATGAAAATGAAAACATATCATTCCAAAACTTATAGGATGCAGCAGTAGCAATGCTAAAAGGGAAATTTGTAGCTGTAGATGCTTATATTAAAAAAGAAGGGCCGGGCGTGGTGGCTCACACCTGTAATCCTAGCACTCTGGGAGGCCGAGGCGGGAGGATTGCTTGAGGTCAGGAGTTCAAGATCAGCCTGAGCAAGAGTAAGACCCCATCTCTACTAAAAATAGAAAAAATTAGCTGGGCGTGGTGGCACATCAGTAAGTGGTGTTGGGAAAACAGGAGATCTATATGCAAAAGAATGAAATTGGACTCATCTTACACCATACACACAAATTAACTTGAATTAGAAAAACACTGCTTTAGAACAATAAACTTACATTAAAATCATGTAAAAAAATCTGTTTTCCTACAGTGTTAGATTTCATATGTCACTTTCAGTTATTTATGTTTTCCATCACCAAGAATATGCTACTCAGGAGGAGGGACTATAGCCACTTGGGTGTGTCCCTCATTTTTTCTTCCACCTGGAAAAACCCCATTCACCCCAATAAGCCACTCAAACACTAATCTCTCTTTGAAGTTTTGAACTGAATTCCCCACTAGATAGAATTTGTCATTTTCTCTTTCTGATCTCTTAACAACTTGAACATATTTTATGTCCATATTATATTATATTCTTGATCTTTGCATGTATGTTGCCTCTCACTAGAATATAGGCTCAAGACAACCTCTGAATCCCTGAGTCTAGTCACCAAAACCTCAGAAAGGAAACAAATAGAAGTGGCTAATCAACTGTAGCACAGCAAGTGTGTTTATGACTTCCTAGTCTCCTCCTGAGAGAAGTAACAACTGTAAATAAAACTATGTTTCTCTGTTCAAGAACTTGAAGAAAATTGATGTCTCTGGGTAGGAATGTAAAATATGCAAGTCATCTACTGTCAAGGCAAACACTTAGTTGGGTGAGCATCACATATCAAAATATACAAAGTCAAATGAAAGCTAAAGAGATATTCAAATTTAATAGACTTCATGACTTTGGGGCCAGAAAATTCTATTTTACTGGCCACACCTTTCCTATGAGAATACACCAGATCCAACATTTCTATGGGACCATCTAGCTTCCCAAAGTTTCGCTAGTTAAAAACACAAACTCCTAAGATCCTGCTCATCGTAAACCATAAAATTCTTCTCACTCAGCTTTATCCCTTCCTGATTCTCACTGTCCTTATTCCTCCTTGATTCTAAGCTTGGGGAAGACATATTCCTCAAACTAAATACTTTGAAATATTGTATTGCTAATTAGGGATTATATTAATACCTTGATTTTTACTCATCTTCAATGCCTATCATTACAACCTACCGCTCAGTGTTCTTTATCTCTTTTACGTTTCCTGCTTCATTTCCTCCATTCTTTCTCATCTGCTCTGTGCCATGTCTTATCAAGGTCTCATTAGCTGATCTCTCTGTTGTTGCTTCTTAGCTTCTTACTGTCTTAGTCCATTTTCTGTTGCTTATAACACAACACTTGAAACTGGGTAATTTATAAAGAAAAGTAATTTATTTCTTGCGGTTATGAAGGCTGACAAGTCCAAGGTCAAGAGGCCACATCTGGTCAAACCTTCTTGCTGGTAGGAACTTTCTGCAGAGTCCCCAGGTAGCACAGGGGACTCTGCATGGCGAGAGGGATGAGCAAGTTAGCTCAGATGTCTCTTTCTCTTCTTATAGGCAGCTGCTAGTCCCACTCCCCTAACAATCCATTAATCCCTTAACCCATTAATGTATTCATGAGGGCAAAGCCCTCGTGACACAAGCACCTCTTAAAGGTCCCACTCATAATACTGTCACATTGGGAATTAAGTTTCAAGATGAGTTTTGGAGGGAACAAACATCCAAACCATAGCAAGGACAATTGTTACGTACGAAGGTTCAATATATTAAATATTTCCTTGGTGGAGAATGCTTCAAATTTGGACTAGTGCAGTCCTTCAGGATTATTCTTTATTAAACACCTGCACTAGAACATTTATAGTAGCACAATTCACAATTGCAAAGATGTGGACACAACCCAAGTGCCCATCAATATATGAGAAGACTAATAAAATGTGGTATATGTATACCATAGAGTTCTACTCAGCCACAAAAAACAACAGTGACCTAGCACCTCTTGTATTATCCTAGATAGAGCTGGAACCCATTCTACTAAGTGAAGTATCCCCAAAATGGAAAAACAAGTACCACATGTACTCACCATCAAATTGGTATTAACTGATCAACACTTAAGTGCACATATAGCAATAACATTCACCGGGTGTCGGGCAGATGGGAGGGGGGAGGAAGGGATGGGTATATACACATCTAATGGATTCAGTGTGCACTGTCTGGAGGATGGACACTCTTGAAGCTCTGACTTGGGTGGGGCAAAGGCAATATATGTAACCTAAACATTTGTACCCCCGTAATATGATGAAATAAAAAATATTAAAGAAAAAAAAGAAAAAAGAAACTGGCCTAGAATGCTGTTGGGTTTTTGATAGGGATTACATTAAATCTGTTAATCAATTTGGATAGTATTACCATCTTAACAATATTAAGTCTTTCAATCCATAAACACAGAGTATCTTTCCACTTATTTGTGTCTTCTTTAATTTTTCTCAGCAACATTTTATAGTTTTCAGTGTACAAGTCTTCACACCCTTGATTAATTTATTCCTGAGTATTTTATTCTTTTTGATGCTGTAAGTGGAATAGATTTCCTAATTTTTTGGTTTGCTTATTGTTAGTTTACAGAAATGCATCTGATTTTTGTTTGTTGATTTTATATCCTTCAACTTTGCTGAATTCATTTAGGTTTTGCATGTAGGGGTATGGGGGAAGGAATCTTCAGGGTTTCTGCATATAAGATCATTTTATCTGTGAACAAAGAGAATTTTACTCCTTTTACAGTTTGAATGATTTTATTTTTTCTTCTTGTCTAATTGCTCTGGCTGTAACTTCCCATACTATATTAAATGAAAGAGGGGATAATGAACATCCTTATCTTGTTCATGATCTTCTAGAAGATGCTTCTAATCTTTTACCATTATATGATAATATTAGGATTCAGTTTTGTGCTACATTATTAGGAAAGAACTAATACATTTCTTCTATGAGTTTTTCTTTTCATAACATCACTAGAGCACCTTGTAGTCATTAAACTCTCCTGATGAAAGAGAAATATACCTGGCTACACTTTAAGCAGAAACTCCTCTTTCTATATTTTTCTGGGTTAAATACTTCTTAATCTATATATGTTACTTGAGTAGCATATCTCTTAGTAGCTTATTTAGAAATTCTTCTTTGTTCTGGACTCTAAATATAAATCGTGCCTTTCCTATTGAATATATTTAAATGGACTTTGCCTTGTGTTTTTCAGAAGATGCTTATAAGACCCAGGTTAGGATTGACAATGAGCCAGCTTATTTGGACATCTTGGACACTGCTGGCCAGGTAGGTGATTTTTTTAAAAATCTCTCAGATCTTTGAGACTACTTTATGTTTTATCCTCACCTCAAATGCATTTACCACAAAAGAGAAGATAAGGTTAACTATTCAAACAGAAGGACAAATTTGTGATAGCAATCAAAAATTAAAGAAGAAAGAAATTGACATAACAATATGACCCATTACTCATTATCAGCCAGAATATGTCAAAATTTTTCTCAATTTTCTAAATATAAAAGGGTACATGTAGGTGTCATATTGCCAATGAAACAGTTGATTTTTCTTCCTTAGATATGCAAAACCTCTGTCCTAGACCCTAATATAACAAAGATTTTTATTAGAAAATTTTAAGTGAATATAAAAAGGAAAGTCTGCTTGGCAAATATGTTCATGGAACCAAGGCTAAGGAGACAGTTCCATGAAATAAGTGACATAACCAAGATTTAGCATGATCTAATACATTAGTTTTCAAACCTGTAGGAAAGAAGGAGAAGGAGGAAGAGGAGGAGGAGGAGGAGGAGAAATAATTTTTTTGCAATGTAACAAGATAGAACTAAAACTCTATACAACAATTATAAGTAAGTTGTAAGGAAAGGTATCACCGTTAAAACATTTCAAAGTCTTTACTGTATTTAAAAGAAGGGTAGATATCTTATTTAACTTCATACTTTTAATATAATCATGTTAAAAATATAAACTCATATATTAAATACCAGACATAAACCATATAACTTCAAAACAACAGAGGGGAAAGGGAGGAATAAATAAAAATTAACATAATAAAAGGTAGAAAAGAAGGAAGCATAAACAAAGAAAACACAATCAGGAATCAGAATAATGGAAATGAATCTGTCTTTCTTGGAATAGGCAAATATTATCAGTGTCATATTAAATAAAAGAATAACACTAACCTATATTTCTTTTAAAAGAAACATAAAGATACAGAAAAGTAACAAATCAAAGAATTTTTTTAAATGTAGGCAAAAAGTAAAGCAGGTATACCTGTATTAATATCAGAAATAGATTTTATGCAAAAAGCATTTTTAAGGTATAAAAGTGCCAGGTTGTAATAAAAAAGCATGAAAGTATTTTAAAATGCTAATCTGCAATATTCAAGGCAAATGAAGAGAACTGTAAAGAAAAATTTATAAATCTATACTCATATACAGTGAAAATTTTTAATGCACCTCTGTCAGTAAATGTTGGATCAAATAGTACCACAATTGTAGGAGATTTGAAAACACATTTAAGTTAAATAGACTGCTGCAATCAATACAAGAGTAGGCATTCTTTTTATATGCTTATGTTGTTTATAATTTTTATTGATTTATATCCTAATTGCAAAGAATGTGGTCTGGAGGAGATCGATTATTTGATGTATGTAGAATTTTATTTTGTGACTTAAAATGTGATAAATTTTTATAAAGTGTTTAAGCTGGTGATTACCTCTTAGGGGAAATGGGGAAAAATTGGGAAAGGGGAGAGATGCAAAGAAGATTTTAACTAGACATGTAATGATCTATGGTTTATTAAAGTTCCAATTAAATATAGGAAATCATTAATGGTTGAAAACCCAGGGCACAGATATAGAGCTCTCAATTATATATTATATCATTTTCCTTTGTACTTAAATATTTTCATAATTTTAACCATTTTTATTGTTTTATGTAACTACTTAAAATAACTGCATTAATTGGAATATTGATAGCATACAGCCATTGGAAATAGGTGAGCACCTTCTATGAGGTGCATAGAAAACTGCTTGAAATCTATATATTAACAAACTCATTTGTTTTCAGGGACATTTGGACAATGAACGTATGGGGTGGGGAACTGTTGAAGCAAATGGGGATATTTAGAATGGGAAAATTATTTCAATTATTTGAAAGGGCTGTATTTTCTAAGGGGAAGTATACTTGTTTATCAGGGGAACTAGAGGCCTAACTGTTGAGTAAGTTAAATTTTACTCAAAATAATAGGGGGTTTGCAACAAACCAAAAAGGACTGCTTTGGGAAATACAAAGCTGCAGACTGGAAATACTCAAGTGGAATTATTCTCTGGTACAAAGTGAAATCCTTCATTGGTTGAATATTCACTCAGTCTATTGTATTTACGTGAACTTACCTGGTTCCAACTGTGGTGCTAGTGGAATGGTGAATAGCCAGTATATTTCTCCTTCCCATTGAGGTAGGCTCGACCATATCACTGTTTAAGCCAATGGAACGCAGACAGATGAGACAATCTATTAGTAACTGGGCCAAGTTCTTTAGAGGCACTAAGGGTACTTCTGCTATTTCCCAAGAGAAGAACATGCTGCAGGAAGCGGCTGGTTCCTGGAAATGAGAAAACCTGTGGGGCAGACCTAAATCCAACCCAATGAAAGGAACAAAGCCCAGCCCTGCAAGCCTGAAGCTGATCTTCCCCAGCTGCCACACAGACTTGTAAACTAGAAAAATCACGAACACTAGTTGCTTTAAGACTCCAAGTTTGAGGTGGTTTGGCAAGCTGCATTACTGTGGCAATAGCTGATTAATACAGCATATTAGTGGAGCATTTTTTATTTCAGTACAGCTAGATTTGGAGAATATTTTCTGTTTGTGGGTGAAGTGGTGAGTGATGAGGGATAAATCTAAGAGTGAGATTCTAATATCTGGTGTTCCTGAGAAACTTGCAAACACACAATTAAAAAGATAAAGCTACTAAATTTGCATACCATTAAGTATTTTTCAAAGCACGTCTCGACTGCAGCCAAACATAGTCAGAAGTACATCAGGCTAAACAGATGGTGATGTTTTGGCTTCAAACTATTATTAAGCCCTCACGTGCAGGAAGCGGTCTATACATGAGTCTAACAGAACTCATGTCCCTGTAGGGAACAAGAGAGAACACCACTGAAATACTTTTAATAGCATCACCTTGTTTTTTTCTGGTACTATTAATTTTCAACATATGTTGAAATTTACTGTCCTTACAACAAACCCGAGAGGTAGACAGAAAAGCTATTATTAATGTCACCACCTAGAATTTGAATAAAATGCTATAAAAATAAGTGAGATGGTGGTCTTCTTGGTGGCAATATCAGAGACCAAGTCCCAATATGTTTATGTTTGTACTTGTCGGGGAGAAAAAGTTATATATTTTCCTCACCATTGCAAGGCTCATAGCTGACACGCTTATATCAAAACATAAATTAACAATAGAAAAACATAAAAAATTTATTTAACCAAAGTTTTATATTATATTAGAGCTTTCCAAAATGAAGACCCAAAGACCCAGGAAACCTGTGTATTTTTATGTTTGGGTTTGACAAAGAACGGACAGTCATGCCAAGTATGATTGGACAAAAAAATGGGTATTAACCTAATGGTAATAAACTGAGGGGAACTTAGCAATGCCTGTTTGTTCAGATCCTTTGTGACCTCTCTATGCAACATTTCCTTCCTTTGGATCTTGAAAAGAGAGGGAGTGGGAGAACTTCAGAAAGATCTTTCTGCTTTGGTCGTTTTCAAGGTAATATATTTTGAGGTAGTATGCCCTATACCTTATCATGCTTACATATAACCTTGAAATGCCACAGTAATCCCTTGGAAGAACAGTTGGGCATCATCGAATCTCGGATTGTAAAGGACTTTCACCCTAACCATTCTTCCAGTTTTTCAATTATTTTTCAATGCTCAGTTTTCCCACTAAATGATCATTCAATTTATGTTTAACCTCTTTCATCCATCGGGAATTCTGTTTCTGGAAGCAAACAAGCACAGTCTTCAGAAAGCTTTAGTTATTAGAATGGATATTTTTGCAATGGGCTGAAAATTTCTTCTGTATAGTGTCTATTAGTCCCAGAGGTATCCCTTGAAAAAAATCATATTACTCATTTCATAAATGGAAAATTTGAGACTCATTGAGGTTATGTGATTTATGTAATGCTAAATTATTGAGCCAGTTGTGACTAAAATCCATTCACATTCCCACTAAAGCTCTTTCTTACTTCCCTTCTCTTAAGGAATCCATTAGTGTGTACCGAGGAGGGCCACAGGTCAAAAAAAGGCAGAATAGAATAAAAGTGAGTCTCTGCCTCCAAAATGCTTGAGGTTAAAAATAGCAGCAAATTATGATAAGGAGTATGGTAGAAATATACACACGGTAATAATGGGTTGTCTCTGATACCTGAAGTATCTAAATCAAAAATAGAAGAGATTTTAAAAAATAGTTATAAGTGTATTTCAGTGAAACTCTAACCGAATATACATAGTAAGCTTAATTTAATTATAAATGTATTGAAGCATATTCATCCTTATTATAAATAATAAACACAATTCTCCAACACCCAAGATTCTTCTTTTTGACATACTAATTATATCCATTCATTTAAATTTCCTAGATCTAGGCATTGAAGCATATTCATCCTTATTATAAATAATAAA